AGGGAATGCAGGCAACGCTGGAAATGCAGGCAACGCAGGAAACGCTGGCAACCAAGGTAACCAAAAGTGCAAGTACTTTATTTCGTTGGTTAGATCAAAGTGGCGTATGTGTAATGAGTGAAAAATTTAAACAAGCTGATGGTCAATGTGAAATGGAGAGAGAAAAAGATGCTTAGGAATGTGTATGCGGTCAACAGGTAAACAAACTAACAAGTAAACAATTTAAACAGGTAAATGAACAGAGTTACAGTGTGTCAAGTGCCGTATTTTGTTGGTAAGATCCGGGTGACTCTTTCTCCATCCAAGTTTACTTCTGCAAGCAAATGAATTTATTGAGAAACCAACTCTTTTTCAAGTTTTTGAACAGCAGTAGCAACTCTAAACCATTCTGCAGCGCCAACCGCTCTTCCGAACAAAATACCGATTTCTTTATCTTCGTATGTTGCTGTGCAGCCTATCAGTGTATTTTTTCTAATACTGAGCACAAATCTTGTAAACAGTAGTGCACACCAAGAAATCGGATTGATTTCCCTTTTTCTCCCTCTCCGTCTTCTTGAAGAAAACGTGCGTTGCAAATTAATCTCCTGATCTAATCTCCCAGTCCAGTTTCCAAGTTACGGATATTCACAGTTTATACCATATCACTTTTTCTGCCATATCACCATATCATTTCCATGTCACTGTATCACTGCACCGTATACCGTTTACATATTACTTATTCTGACACATATTCCGCTGCGTCACTGCTGCGATTGCAGCTCGAATTCGGGTTCGATATGACCTCAGAACTCCGTTTAGAAAGTCCCACCACTCTGCCCGATGAATTACTGTAGATTGTTTTCCAAGGTCAGTGTGAGTTTTATTCAATTGCTAACAAACAAGTCGCAATAACCAAACTTCCGCTAGCAATTGAAGTTGCTGTGCTACGAAATACTGTATCCTGAACAATCTATCGCTCCCTAGCGCTAGAATTGTTACTTTGTCAATGTCACTAATCATCTGGTAGTTGGAAGACATATGATACTTTGCTACTTTATTCAAAGGACATCATTCTGGAATAGCAATGCCAAATTTTATATCCGCATTTTTATCGCCTGGCTCTTTGCTTGTTGTCATACTGGCTGGATACTGCAAGCTTATAGTTCACTTCATCCCTTCTCCAAAGTTTTTACAACTGTGTCTAATGTGCGGAAACGTTCCAGTAAGTTCACGGAAGCGTATCTCATCTCAACTGTTCTGGCGATCTAGGTATTCTCTTGGGCATCACACCTTCCGATTCAGCTCATAAGCGGAAGTAGAAAAGTAAATGTGATTTTTAAGTGAATTAAAATGGATGTTTTGTAAAAGGCGAAGAGGCATGCAGACAGTTCGGAAGCAAAAAAAGAGAACTAAAAGTATTCTGCCGGAATGATCACGGAAAAAGAGTCATGAAATAAAAATGCTAAAGAAAAATGAGACAGAAAACCCCTCGTTTGCAGATGAGTGTAGAGTGCGAAGGAACTAACCACCCATTCTTCACAACCGTAAGCAATATGCTAACCGGCTACACTACGGTGCTTGCGACTCATGAACACTTGTGCCATGTACTCGTTTTTAAGAAGCATGCATCTTTCTTTTCTTTTCTGTCTTTTTAAATGCATTACGCATTTTTGTGATGGCTGGCTTCCCGCGAGTTTTTAGCGGCAAGCTAACCATCGGTCGCCTTTTCAGTTGGCTCGCTATTACACAATTGCATAGCACAACAGCAAAAATTAATTACTTATTACAATGACAGTTAACGCCACAAACTTTGCTGCTACAATTAAATTATTTCAGATCAATGCAGAGACAGTCATCCAAATTGTCTCAGATATGCAACACTGGGATACTGCAACAACCCAAGGACTGCTGGGCAGATGCAGGCTGGCTGCAAGGGCTCATGTGGCGTTGGCGACGCCTGTTGTCGGGATACGGATCTAAGCTGTAGCAGGAGGAACTGCACAACAGCTGACTGGTCAAAATGCGTGAAAACGTGCTCGGGCTGTGGCTGTCGCGATATGGCAAGAGACTGCAGAGATTACTTGCGATTCTGCCGCGATCCACAGTGGACGATCTTGATGATGACACGTTGTGCACGCACCTGTGATTTCTGTTAATTTCCATTTGTAAGCAGTAAAGCGCCGGCAGTATTTGCGTGCCGCTGTGACTGCGCTGAATAAATTGTTGTTTTTTAGCAATTTATCAGCTAGGATGTTACGGCAGTAGTAAAAAGTAAGATGTACAAATGTGTATTTTGGTGCACGTACAGCGACACGCAAACATTTCATGCGCTACTTCATCTGCTTAAATTATGGCATGCTGATGTTTCGAGACAAATAAAACACTTGATATTCGTTTTTATGCGTCATTTTATATTTATGGAGATGCGAAGACGCATGTAGTCAAAATGTTATCTGTGTGTGTGTGTGTGTGTGTGTGTGTGTGTGTGTGTGTGTGTG